GGCCCTTGGTGCTCTCTGAGCTTGGTTATTCTCTCGCAGACGTTTCACTACCCAAACTAGGTAACATCATTAATTTCCCCAAACTAGGTAATACGCTCAGCAAGATGATGTTACTTAGTTTGGCTAATGAAACGTCTGCAAGGAAACCACCCAGCTCAGAGGACACCAAGGACCCCTCACTGCCTAATTTGTCCATAAGAAAACCACCAAGAGCCGTGGTGGTGCAGTGATTGGCACGCAGTATTGCAGGCTAATTCTGCCCACTGCCAGAAGTTCGATGAAGGCTGAAGGTTGACTCAGCCTTCCGTTTTTCGGAGCTCAATAAAATGAGCCGCCAGATTATTGGGGGCAAGACGCTGATACTGTAAAGCACTTAAGAGAGGGCTGTAAAGAACTGTGAAGTGGGTATATATGTCTAAGTGCTACTGCTAAGCTCAGAGAGCATCAAGGGCCACACAGTTCATCATCCCTGAGCCACAAATATTCTTCCTTTCCATTAGTAAGGTGTGCTTGAAGAACTGCACGGGTTATACCTCTGCTCTGTGAGCTGTACTGGTTTCCAGTTTCCTTCTGGGTTCAACTCGAGGTGTTGGGGATGATTAATGAAGCCACACGTGGCATGAGGCCAGGTTACCTGAGGGAGGGGCTCTCCCCAGTTATTAAACATCCCATCAGGCCTGGCAGGAGGGCCGTTGTTGTGGGCCAACGTCAGCCAGGAGCTTTTCTTAGCAGAATCCTAGGGAGAAAAGCCGCCTCTGCTGTGGTTCCCCCCCTTGAACACACTGCGTGAAATTGGCCCAACCCTTTTGGCGTGTCCAGAAGACCCTTCAAACTCTTGGGGATCCCATGGAAGTGTGGGGCCCACTAAACGGTTATGTGGTGTCTCTCAGATATTTTGTTATTATAGTTTTAACTGTTTTGATTTATTAAATGAATATGCCACCCATCTGACTATAATAGCAACTCTGGGCAGCTAACTTAATTTAAATTGTTTTTAATTATTGTAATTGTTTTTTTTTTCCTTTAGTTGTGTACACTGCCCACAGTCACAAGCATG